TTTTTTATTCCAAACATTTAGAATCTGTAGCTCTGATTACGGCAATGTTTCGTGATCGGGAAATTATTTTTCAAGATCGCCATCCTTTAAAATACATATGAAGACTTACATAAATTAATATTATGTTAAAAACGAAGAACAACAAATTATATAATGTTAAATTTGTGAATCAAATACGTAAATTAATGTGATAAGATGACAAATCAAATCGTATTCTGATGGCGAGTTTCTTCGTCTTCGCCGCGTCTCCCTCGCTATCGTCGCTGCTATTTTTACAATGTTAACAGATTTTTCAGATTTTTTCTTGCTGACAATTGTAACATATAAGGTTGGATATTCAACTTCTTATCGATAAAATAAGTGATTTGCTCGTCCAAAACGAAGAAAATTCAGGTTGTATCGCGTATATTTTCGTAAGATTAACGTGAAGAGCTGATCAGCCATTGTCGCCTTTGACGTCACAGGGTCACGTGATCGCTATCTAATTAACTTAGATTTTTAAATCAGGGGTTTTCATTTGAGTCAATAATTGATTAATTACCGCGGTTTATCCGCAGTAAAAACACAAAATTTATAAACTGTAGTCACAATGAACGTTTTACACTTTTAATTTCAAATAATTTAGAAACATGCGATAAGTCCTCTTCAGCTCTTGGATGGAGGAAACTATGACATTTACGGTTTTCTTTGGGGTGTGGACGTTGAACCTTGCATGTGTGAAACTCCAGCAGAGTGAAATAACCTCGAAAATTCACTGACAAAAAGCAAGGAAAGCAAAGACGAAGTTAATGACGACCAGGGTATGCCAGAGCATTCACAGGTCTGGACGATTTCCATATAAGGAGGGCCAAGAACGATAACTGAAAGTTGCTATAAATATATATACTTCACATACACGTACATATTTTTGACCAATCAATTTTAGCTTAGCCGTCTGATTATCATCAGTATCTTGAAGCTTTATATGTATGGCTTGTCAACCATTGCAATACTAGATCTTTTCCATTTTCACCTCACCTTATCCGAAGGCTCAAGTGAGCTTTCTGATCACATTTTGTCTGTAGTCCGTCTGTCTGTCCGTCCGTCCGTCCGTCTGTAAACTATTCACATTTTCAACTTCTTCTCAAGAACCACTGGGCCAATTTCAACCAAACTTGCCACAAAGTATCCTTGGGTGAAGGGGATTCAAGTTTCTTCAAATGAAGGGCCACGCCCTCTTTCAAGGGGAGATAATAAAGAATTAGTGAAAAATTAATAGCATCTTTCAAAAATCTTTTCTTCTCAAGAACCACAAAGCCAGGGAAGATGAAACTCATGTGGAAGCATCCTCAGGTAGTGTAGATTCAAATTTCTTCAAATCATGACCCCCGGGGGTAGGGCGGGGCCACAATGGAGGATCAAAGTTTAACAAGTTTAACATAGAAATATATAGGAAAAACCTTTAAAAATCTTCTTCTTAAGAACAGCAAAGCCATGATGAGTCATGTTTATATGGAAGCATCCTCAGATAGTGTAGATTCAAGTTTGTTCAAATCATGACCCCCGGGGGTAGGGTGGGGCCACAATGGAGGATCAAAGTTTTACATAGAAATATATAGAAAAAATCTTTAAAAATCTTCTCAAGAACAACAAAACCCTAATTGGTCATATTTATATGGAAGCATCCTCAGGTAGTGTAGATTCAAGTTTGTTCAAATCATGACCCCCGGGGGTAGGGCGGGGCCACAATGGAGGATCAAAGTTTTACATAGAAATATATAGGAAAAATCTTTAAAAATTCTCTTCTCAGGAACAGCAAAGCCCTGATTGATCATATTTATATGGAAGTATCCTCAGGTAGTGTAGATTTAAGTTTGTTCAAATCATGACCCCCTGGGGTAGGGCGGGGCCACAATGGAGGATCAATGTCTGAAATAGAAATATATAGAAAGGTATCTTCTGATGAAGAACTGCGAAGCCATGATTAGTCATTTTAATATGGAAGCATCCTCAGGTAGTGTAGATTCAAGTTTGTTAAAATGATGACCCCCGGGGATAGGGATGGGCCACAATGGGGGATCAAAAATTTTACATAGGAACATATTGGAAAATATCTTCTTCTCAAGAAATGAAAATCATGTTTAGTCATTTTGATATGGAAGCATCCTTAAGTAGTGTAAATTCAATTTTTGTTCAAATGATAACCCCCAGGGGTAGGGTGGGGTCCATTGGGGATCGAAAGTTTTACATAGGAACACATAGAAAAAATATTTCTTCTCAAGAACAGAAAAGCTATGTTTAGTCATATTGACATGGAAGCATCCTCGGGTAGTGTAGATTCAAGTTTGTTCAAATGATGACCTCTGGGATAGGGAGGAGCCACAATGCGGGATCAAATTTTTACAAAGGAATGTATGGGAAAAAAAAATTTAAAATCTTCTGAAGTACAACAAAGCCATTTGTTATATTGACATGAAAGCATCACCAGGTAGTTTAAAATTCACCCCCCCCCCCCCCCCCCGTAATCTTTTCAATACTGAACTGATTTGTGTCTAGCCAATGTGCTCAGGTGAGCGATGTGGCCCATGGGCCTCTTGTTATTGTACTATTTTCCAATTTCATTATATAATTTCCATTTCTATAATTTTTATTTGTATTCTATAATTTTCCATTTATATTCCATAAATATCCGTTCGAATTGTATTTTTCATTTGTTTTGTATACTTTTGATATATTCTATAATTTTCCATTTATTTTCCATAAATTTCTATTTGAATTAGTAAAATTTTTCACTTGTACTTGTACAGTTTTTCATTTGTATTGTATAATTTTGATTTATATTCTATACTTTTCTTTTTATATTCCATTATTGTCCATTTGAATTGTATAGTTTTCATTTGTATTATATAAATTTCCATTTGTATTCCATTATTTTTTATTTCTATTCTATAATTTTCCAATTGTATGTTAAAATTTTCCATTTGTATTATATAATTTTCAATTTGTATCATTTTTTCCAATTGTATTATATAATTTTCCAGATAGAAATATACAATACAAATGGAAAAATCGTACAATATATTTTAAGTAATTTTTAATTATGAATAATATTATAAATTTTCAAAAATGTTGTCTAATAGAATAGAAATACACGGTGCATTCCATGTTAATTTCCATAGTCCCTGCCAACTGACTTCAGAAACATTGACACCCCGGGAGATTGACATGCATATTAGGCACTTGACCTTTTATATTTGGCGAAATTTACATTTAGTTGTTAATATCGAGAAATTATCACACCTTACTTTAGTTATCAATGGAAAGGTAAAACAGTCGGATATGTAAATATTAACAGGAGCATTAAGTATTTAAAATAAATGATATTCAAATAAACTAATCAATTATTTATTCCAAAAGCGAATATCACGTACTGCTATAGATATTTCACTTCTGAATTGCGCGGCACTCCATTACGAATGTAGTACTGTGCGACCTTTTTGTGCAACAATGTGAAAAAAATCCTCGTTCATCCAAGCACCTCACAATACATCATACTAACTGTCAGTTATCATTATCACCAAGGATGACTGCACTTAAGGACATGCGAAAATTGCGAAAAAATAAACTTTCAAAACAAGCATTTTTCTTTTAATTGCAGGAATGGTCAACATGTAATCTAAAACTTTACGTAATTACATTAAATAAAAGTATGTATTTACGAAGTACGAAGCTATTTTCAAAGGTGGGGTCATCACAATATCGTGAATCTCCGTACGATAATGAGGACGCCCACTTATTCACTGACTTTGTACATAGTCAGCGCATGTTTGTCTATTGTTCTCCGTTTAACAGTAGTTGTATATTTGCATTAATAATATTGTGTCAAAAGGAGATTAATAGACAAACATGCGCTCATGGTTTAAAAGAGAAAAAACTGCTTCTTCTTACATTCGCTCTCACTGTTGTAACCAAGGGCTACGGCATGCATGTTGAATATTATAATTCACCACGTGATGTCCTACCTTAGGTAACTCTGTGAATACTGAATTCCGTCACGTGACCTGTACGATAGCATGTTTTGTGCTAACTAGGACACTCTTCTCGAACACGTTGAATTGTCAGGCATCGATTCAAAATATTCTTTACTTACATGTACGTGCTCATATTGTTAATTTCGTTTTGGAAAATTTGTAAATACTTTAGTAGTGTACTTGTGCCATACAGGATAAAGAGAGAGATGGGAAAGAGTGATCACGTATTTTAACACATGTCATTGTTATTTATCTAGTCTAATTTTAGAGCCATTCTTAAAATGTTAGCTCCACCTCTCATGCATACCTAATGTTTAATCAAGGGCAGGTAAGTGTAAAATCTCTATATTTGACAAAGAGTAGGGACAAAAATCAGAGAATTATTCTATTGTATCACAGTCTAAAATCATTTTTTACATTTAAATTTGGTGCCAAATTGATAGAATTCCATAGTGAATATACAAAAGTGAAAGAAGGTTAAGATATAAAAGCAGCAGAAGCGGCGGAAAAAGACCCAAAACCCAGTCTTAAGTGCAGTTATCCTTTGTTTGCTATCGGGTTTAATATACGCAATAATTCATTTTGTAAATACAACATGTGCTTCATCGTCTAGTACTTACTTGTTTCTTTTCTTTATTATATACACATAAAGATAAAAGGAGATATTAAAAAGTTGTGTTAATTGTTAAAAAAAAAAATCGTCAAAGCCCCTCATGTATATTCTCCTATGTTTCCAAGTTTTTTTTTATAACCCCATAAGCAACACAAAATCTTGAAATTGTTTAATCCTATTTATCAATTAAACTTTACACGAACTTCATTAAAGACCAAAAGGTTATTGGCAACACATGTAAAGGCAGAGAAAGGGTTGGTTGTGTCACATACTACCATTTCCACAATCAAATGCTAACAAGACCAAGAGAAGGAGGATGGTTCAGGGGAGGTGAGAAGAGAGGTTGAATATGCCGGAAGAATATGCTGGCGGCAGAGCTCAATAAGCTGGGGCTTTTATGGGTTGGAAGGCAATTCTGTCGGGTTTAGGAGTTTTCTAAATCAGTGTTGGATGGTGTCATCATTGTGGAGAATTGCTGTGCAACAACTAGCAGATGCAGCAAAAGAATCGTTGTGCTGGGTATGGCACAGACGATAGGAGCTGATCTGAATGTCTGGAACCAACGAGAAGTAGTTTGGCCACTGCTGTCGACCCAACAACTGGAGGATGTCAGGGTTTAGGGTCGAAACATGCGGGGAAGGTGGGCGACCATCTGAAGACTAAGTTACCAGGCAGAGATTGTGGCGGACTAAATCAGGCATGGACAGGATGCCCGGACATCATAGCAGATCAATCTTTATCTGTAAGCTTACTTTTACTTCAATTCTTTGAAATCGTACGGTAAAAAAGATTTAAAAAGAAGCATATGTTTTAAATCCATTAATACTATTAAATTAAATCATTGATATAAAGTGATGGTTGACCTTTATGGCAAAACAGTTGCACTCTTTGGCACGTTTATGATAAGACGAAGCAAAATAAACTACATTTGACCCTGCCCATTTTCTCCAAATTAAAATTATCGCTTTTTTTTCTCAATTTCTCAATTTGTCACTATGAAAATATGTTCAGCAGAAAGTTTGTGTTGTCTTTCAGTCAAGGCTTCATGTGTTTGGAATCTGTGTGTCGCTGTAAAAGGATGTCTTATGTACCAACATGACCTACATATTACCTTGGCCTTTGAACTCAAAGATTGCTTGTAGATTTGATAGAAAGCATGTCCAAGAAAGAACTGGTTTTCTTTCTTTCTGGCAGTGCTTTATAAAATATTTGGCATACAGAGGTATTTGCTACATCATAAATCAACAATGTGTTTCGACCTCCAAATAATGCAAATTGATAATGAATTTGAACAAGTACGTCTGTCAGAAAAAGAATGTTTTCAGTCTAGAATTATGATATTTTGCTTGTGACTGTTTCATCATTGGATGATGTGTGATTATACACATATGTCCCTGAGACCTTTGATTCCTTGAGTTTAAGTGTTTCTTCTTTTTTTTTACCAGAATAATTGTACATGTAAAAGTTTTTTTTGTCTGTTATCCATATGATCATTATGATGTTTGGTATGTAAGTGATACAATACAAAATGTGTAAAGTGGCATCATGATCTCTGTATGACTACATTTATTGAATTAGAAGGGTGTGAAGTATTTTTAGTGTACTAAATCAAGCTTTTTATTTATGTCAGCGACTTTAATCTTTATGTTACACATCTGTTGCACACCCTTTGTTTTAAAGCTAGCTACACAACATATATTGATACATGCTTTATTCACGGTTCATTTGTTTTGGTAAAAATGCCAAAAGTTACGCCATAATAATATTTTCTGCTTGTGTGTGTTTCTTGTTTGAAATTTTGAAAACAAACACAAGAAAAACAAATTATATCCAATTGCCATGCATTGTATATTTACACCAGTGAATAAACTAATGTGATGGTAATTGTTTACTATCGTCTTTTAAATATCTCATCAAATATATAATCACCTTAATTGTTTTTCTGACGTGCCTACGTTATCAGCTTACCTATAAAAGATAGAAGTTACAGTCAAGATGGTATTGCATCAACATGCCGATCACAAAGAATCACAGACGCATTTCTTCCTTACGGAAAGGTGTGTTATGTTCAGCTATAGACAATTTAACGCTAGAAGATGGAGACAATTTGAAGTCTTGTAGTTTTGTGCATCAACAAAAATGCAACGGGGATGAGAGCAAATCGCGATCAATATCTATGCACAATTCCAAAATACCTGAAGCTGGAGATATTAGGCCCAATCTTAAAAATCGGAGATTCAGCTGTTCAGATGCATTAAATGCCCACAATAAAAGAAGTTTTACCCATAACAGATCGAGAGGTCTTCTTCTCAAAAGCAGCATAGCAGTTCGAAGACAGAAAAGACCTAGTAAAAGTAAGGAAACAACAACCTTGCCCAAAGAAGACAAATTCTTGAAATGGAGGGATACTTCTTACGAGGAGAGAAAAGAAAGAACAAAACTTATTGAAGTTTATGGGAAGAAGAATGTTGGAAAGACGACATTTTTGCATTTATTTAAATCGCTAAAAGAATTTGTTCAAGGTAATTTTGCAGACTTTAATCAGTAATTTACTTTCAAAATTCGGTATATTTTTTTTTTTTATTTAAGATTTTTATCACAGATCTTTCTTTTTAACGAACTTGTTCAAAATATTTTTTACAAACTATTATGAGTCATTTACTTTCACTATTCGGCATTTATATATTTGAAATTTTAACACATACATATTTTTAGGGCAGCAAAGCAGCAGTGTTTTGTGTGAAAATACTAACTCCGACATGTGCTTAACAATCGAAAATAAGGAGATATGTCCAGAAACGGTGAGAGTCCTTGTGGTTATATACCATGTATTACCTGATTTTGCAAACATTTTCTTTAGTTACAGAAATAAATGAGAGTTTTGATAATAAGTTTTATTTTTCATTTAGATTTCACAGGACATAGATGACGCGGACGCATGTGTTGTCATGTTTTCTGTGTCCGACAAAGCATCGTTCCAGTTTGCCAAACTTTGTGTGCAAAATATTCGTCGAAGTCATCGAGAAGATGTGCCTATATTTCTTGTAGCAAACAAATCTGACTTAATTCGATACCGGAAGGTGTCTACGAATGGTAAGTTTAACACATTGGAATAATTTTTAAAGTTTGTTTCCTGATTATCATTTTTTAACCTTCTTTCAGTGTTAAGTTCATTTGTATCCCTTCATTTTTTGTTCTTTCAGATGCCATTAAAGTTGCCGACATTCACAAGTGCCTGTTCTTTGAAACATCGTTAACTATGAATCACAACACAGAAGAACTATGTAAAGAAGTCCTTGTGCAAATTGAAGAAACTTCAGTTCGAACAAATATGAAATGTTTCCAGCGAGTGATCGACATTTTTCAATCCAGAATGAAACGTGTCTTTCGCAGATAGCAATTGTTCTTGTCAACACAACCAATAAACTTGCATTTATTTTTACACCTGTTTATATGTCTTTGCAAAAACTCTTTCATGATTTCAAAGAATTTCTATGAAATCAAGGGAAAGGGCTTTCAGTTGAGAACAAATTATTAATAAATATAATAATATATTGATATCATTAATAATAATTATACGAATATTTCATATTTTTGCTGTAATTCAGATGATGATTTGTCTTCAAGTGTAACCAGTTTCCCAATCAACGATTTTCGAACCATATTATTAAATATCTTAAATTGTTTGATGACAGGTTTAGATAATGTGTATGTGAAGTCATATGTTTTATAATCGAGAAACTTACCACAATGCAAACTCAAGAAATGTTATATTAAGATTGATCATATCATCCAAACAGGTACAAAGTGACCATGCAAACTTAATGTATCTTTAAGCCAACGCCAAGAACAAACAAATCAGCAGATTTAAAAAAATAATGAATATTTTCTTCGAATATTATAGACAATCACAGTAAAGACAATGGGAGGGGTATTTTTTTTTTCAAAAGACAATTGGAAATTTCTTGGCATCGATTACGGTCAAAGTTTAGAGCATTAAAAGTCGCTTGGTACTATTTTTAGCAAAGGGGCTGTGGAGAGTTCAATCGTAACTACTCGAGCATAACTGTGAACGATAAATAACCTTATGAACAGAGAGGATAAAACCTTCTTAAATTGTTAAAGAGTTATTACATACAATACAGGTTGTTGGCGGACTTTACATGGTAAATTTGTTAGAACTGTTTAGAAAAGGCTAAATATTTAGACACAGTGTGTTGTGTAAAATTTTAACAATATCGAACGTGTCAAGAACGAAAAATTGGACGTTACAAGGACAGTGGAAATCTGTGATATTTTAGAACAAAGCACAGGTATTTGTTGGTAAAACGAAAAACATATATTTAGAAGAAGGCCAATGAGAAGTGGTGAATAACATACAACTTCATTCAAGCATTTATGTGTGGCATATGCAAACGTTCTCATAAAATCATTATTACAGTGTGATGAATATTTTACTAGTATATAAAAGGAGTCTTCTGTACATAATTAAAAGAACAAGCAACCAAATCTAAATAATTTCCTAATTTCAACTCGGAAATTTCTTTACAAAAAAACAAAACAAAACAAAAAAAAACACCTCTTTTCCCAACATTTCTTAACAGGGGTCCACGTTTTCTAAGGGGGGGGGGGGTTAAGTCATTTTTAGCCGTACTGGTCAGAGACCTGAAGAGATTATGCGATAGTTAGGTGTCCGTCCGTCTAGCTGTCTGACTGTCTGTCCGTCTGTAAACAATTTTTCAAAACGCTACTTCTCCGACAGTTTTAGTCTGATTTCAATATAACTTGGCACAAAAGTAGACTATACTAGGATACATAATTCTGTGTATCGGTTTTTGAATTCAATGAACAGTGTTACCATGGTTACTAAAAATAGAAGTTTCGGTGAAAAACTTTCAAAACCCTACTCTTCCTACAGTTTTGATCTGATTTCATTATAACTTGGCACACAAGTAGACTATACTAAGATACATAATTCTGTTTATTGGTTTTTGATTTCAATGAACGGTGTTGCCATGGTTACTAAAAATAGAAATTTCTGTGAAATACATTCAAAACGCTACTCCGCCTACAGTTTTGATCACTTTTCAATATAACTTGGCACACAAGTAGACTACACTAAGATACATAATTCTGTTTATCCGTTTTGGATTTTGACGAACGGTGTTGCCATGGTTACTAAAAATAGAAATTTCCTTGAAATACTTTCAAAATGCTACTCCTCCTACAGTTTTGGTCTGATTTTAGTATACTTTGACACACAAGTAGACAACACTAAGATACATAATTCTCTGTACCAGTTTTGGATTTTGATGAACGGTGTTGTTATGATTACTAAAAATAGGAATTTTTTGAAATACTTTCAAAACGCTACTCCTCCTACATGTTTTGTCTGATTTCAGTATAACGGCATGCAAGTAGACTACACTGAGATACATAATTGTCATTATTGCTTTTTGATTTTGTTGAATGATGTTACCATGGATACTTAAATCAAAATTTCTGTAAAATTATTTTGAAGGGCTACTCCTCCTACAGTTTTATTCTGATTGCAATAAATCTTGCCAAAAAAAAACAACAGACTAAACCAAGGATCATTATACTATTTATTGCTGTTGCAAATTAAAGTTTCAAGTCCAAGTGCTACTTTTATCTTCCTTTATAAGTACAACCAGTAGAGCTACAGTCTCATCAGAGACTTCTGGTTTTATTTGCTTCAATATATACATTTAATAAATCTGAAAATTCTGGGGGGGGGGGTCCCCCCCCCCCCCCGCTCTAGATCCGTGCATGCTCTTTTTTCCTTAAGCAGGGGACACAAATTATCTGAATTAAATGTTTATGCTAAATTTTACTACGGATTAATCCGGCTAGGTGATCAAAACAGGGCTCACGGTGGGTGTGGTCGGTCGACAGAGGGTGCTTACTCCCCCTAGGCACCTGATCCCACCTCTGGAATTCTCAAGGGTCCGATCACTGTTCTTTCATTATATATCTTTATTTTTTTACCTAAATTACTGCAAGTATTAATGTCATTTAAAATTCCATACTCACATATAATTTATACAAATGGGGCATATGTCTATGAGATATACTTTACTTAAATCTAGCAAAGACAAAAATAATGTCTGATTTCACAAATTAAACACTACCTATGCATAACTCAAATGCATTTGATTTTCCTGTGGTGAATTTTATCAAAACATCGTCATGTCTTGTCATATCTTTCATTCACGAAAAACATATCTCTATATATTTCATTGTTAAAAATTTAATAAATTGTTTCCTTTGGGGGGGGGGGGGGTATTATCTAGGTGTTTCTGTTCATAAGTAAATCTATATTTTGTAATTCAAAAACATTTGATAGATACTCTAGAATTGGGTCGTCTAGGTCATACTTTATATTTGAAATCTCATTCAATTAAATAATATTATCTTTTCAGAAAAAAAACACTTTGATTACAAAAATATGAATTCATTTTCTTCAAAAGCTTCCCTTTTCCCTTTTAAACTATATACATGTACAGAAGTTCTGAAAGGTAAAATGTATTTTAACAATTCCTAAAATGAAATCATCTGAATTATTCAAGAACATTGACCAGTACTAGAGTTAAGCATTTTAAACCAGATATTTAGAATCATTGTGAAAGTAAGTCGACTGACTCGCAGGAACTTGACGTCGTACATTTTTCCTTCTGTAAATCTATATTATAAATCTTTTAGAGTAGTATTTTTGTGATATGTAAAAAATATGACGTCAAATGCCTGTGGATAAAAACTTGTGACTTGCATATGTATATGCTAAACCCAAATCCCTATATTTCGCTAATTTGTTAAATAAATATTAGGGATGTCAATGAATATTCGAATATTCATTCGATGAGCTGATATTCGAATATGAATTTAAGATTCGAATATTCGGTGTTTTTTTCAGATTTCATAAAAAAGGTACTGTAATTAATAAATTTTGATTAGAACATTGATGGAATCATCCCCGTTTAATTTACTCGCGATCAATTTCGATCGGCTGACTTTCTTCACTACTTTCTTATAGATCTACTAAATTATTTTGTTTTGAGTAAGGTGTAAAAGAATTATACACTGTACATTAATGCTTTATATATAATACAAAACGTACTTTCCTAGTTTTTATTAGTTAAATACCATCGGATCTAAAATCGGGGACAAAATGAAAACCTTCTTAGAATGTCTAAAAGACGTGAAGAGTATACTTATCAAAATAAATTTAATTGATCATTGAATGAATGTCCGATAGAATTAGTCTGTAATTAATATTGTAAAGGGCTCAATTTCAGAATAAATGTGTTAATTACTTGATTATCTCGGGTTGTACATAATCTTGAATTTTATATTTTATTATCGGGAAATTAGTTAATTACCTGGGAAAATTGTCTATGAAAAAAATTGTTTATATTTTAAAAACATTGTATCAAACATTAAATCATATCTCTTATTAGGCTGATAATTGTAATTAATTACATGCATTGAAATCTGAAAAAAGTATACGACTATCCTGCCTTTGGTAGGACGACTGGTTCCTCAGTTGGAGCTACTATAAATACACATGTATATGTATCATTTGTTAAATTATACATTTCTACATTATTGTACACCTACAAAAGTCTTCATACAATTTTACTTCCTATATTAGAATACCTACGCTAAACCTTTCATGAAAGTAGGATGATGCATATTTAAAATAAACCAGATTTTATCGAATATTCGAATATATTCGAATACTTTCATTGAATATTCGAATATGAATTATTGACAAAATTGACATCCCTAATAATTATCATATATATATATATATATATATATATATATATATATATATATATATATATATATATATATATATATATATATATATATATATATATATATATATATATATATATAAAGAACAGTTTCATAAGAATGTAAATTGAAACTTCAGTTACTTTAGCAGTGTCACAATGAAGTGTTTATTTATCTATTTGTAGTCTTTTGTCAAAAACACTCGCAAATTCAGAATTAGTTGTAAAGGTTCATTTACAGATTTAATATAGGCAATTTTTCAACCCAGTATTATGAAAATTAAGGGGATTATGCAGTAAATAAGAATTATAATAATGATTATAATTTTTAAGGTTAAATACAATTTATTTAAAAACAACAATTCAATAAAAGCAAACTATAGCTTATTCAGAGAATTTGCATCCCCCGCTATAGGAAAAAAGAAGGGGGTGGAAGAAATGGAAAAAATTTGCAGATGGAGAAAGAAATGTCAAAGAAGTAGCTTTCACCTTTCATATTTTTACATAAATTCAGAGTTAAGATTTTCATCCTAACTTACTTGAAAATTGGGTCAGATTTTATTTTTTTTATTTTCTA